TGCGGGAGGCGGAGCTGGGTGAAGGCGGCCGGGCGGTCCCGGGCCTGTGCAGAGGTGGTGGGAGCCCTTCTCCTCGCTTGGAAACAGTGACATACCGTTTCGCTTTTGCTGTGAGAGGGTTTTGCAAGTGGTGTGTTCCTAGATTGTACAACTTCGGTTGTTAAAGTTGTCTGCCCGTGTGATAATTCCGTGTAAACACCGTCACTCGTTCGGTCCGTGTTCTCTCAGGTGTGCGGGCTGCTTGTCAAGAGGCCGCTGTCACGCAGGAGCTTCTGCAAGAGGGGTTTCACAGGTGAGGTGTCACCCTGGCGCTGCGTCGCAATAACGTGGCGGGTCATTTTAGGTGAGGAGAAGCTTCTCTTCTAATTCCTGCACAGTTGTATCAACTCACTGAGCTGTGATCCGTAGGCATGGCTGGGCACTGGGAATGTATTTGCATGATCAAGTAATTAACAGTTACAAGCTAGAGCGGAGGAAGAACAGGAGGCTCCTTTCTAAGATCTATGTGGAGGCCGTTGGTAGTTCTGAGAAGTTCACAAAGAAGCGAAACTTCATTTTGGTCAGGACTTAGGGTGAACGACATCATCCTAACCAGAGAAGGACAGCATGGCTCGACGGGGAATTTGTCGCGTATAGTACGTGAGAGCTGCATCTCATCTCCACGCGTTTGCGAGTATGTCTTTTGGTGGGGTTTTGTGCCATCTTCTGAAGCACAGGTATAAATGTTTTGCTTCTGTTGCTTGTTTGAAGGGACCTGCTGGTGAAGGTGGAACTTGGCGTGGGGGCGGAGGACGGAGGAGGATGTACAGTGGCAGCTAGAACTCGGCTTCCACCAGGAATCTACGTGGATCCCTATGAGCTGGCATCACTGCAGCAGCACAATTTAACAAAGGTAACAACCCTAAAGCTGAGACATCTGGCAGTTACTCAGATAAGGATGAGTACGCTCAGGAAGTTGTAATCTCTTATTATCAGGGTCTTTGAACCAAGGTGATTAATTCCTTTTCCTGGAAGGAGATGTGGCACAGTATCATCTTCGTGACATCTCATTGTATCTCTGAGCTTGATCAGCATCGCCCAGCGCAGGGCATTTTGTGTTGCGCGCTGCTGATATTTCTACATACCTATATGCGTATAGGGGAGCCACTGCTACTCTGCTTAGCCCCAGATGAGCAGCTATGGTAAAAGCTACTGAGGTTGAGAAGACGAAAGGTTAACCCCCTACAACAGAGGTGGTGGTGAGCTCTAAGTAGTGTCCTGCGCATTCGGACCGAGTAGCTTCACAGCTTCGTTTTCATCACAGCTTTCTGTGTTGCTTTCCAAGTCTTTGCTTCACATTTTGGGTAGAGAGATGTGCTAAGGCTGTGGCTTTAAGGTAATCTCCTTAGGCACTTAATTCAGTTAAAACATATGGATGTAAAGACAACTTCTGTTGTTGGGATGCTTGCAAGTGCTGGCATAGCCTTGCTTATACACATCGTTCAGCTAATGCCTCTTGGGTTTGGCAATGGGCATGGTTGCACTGTAAACTCTTCACACGTAAGAATCCCTCATTGGAGAGGGACTTGAAAAGTTACTCTGAAACAGCTTAAAGACAAAATTTCCAACTTGATCTTCCTGACCATGAAGTCAGGAATAGAAAATAGAATGAGGAAAATAGTTTTCCCTTCTGATGCTGCAGTAGGTTACCACAGCAGATGGTGGCCTCTTAAATCCCAGAATCATGCCCAAAATGTTCGTACGTTTGTTGGTTTTTTTCCCCCTGCATCCCTCCCTTGTGTCGATTCTGATTGCAACCACATCTGTATCTTTCTCCGCTTGCAGGCGGTGTTAATTCCTGATGTCATTGATGTGGAGGCGCCTGAGTACTTAGCCACAGACCTTCTCGTTCTCCTGTACATGGAACCCGACCCTCGGTGTTCTCATTGTTTTAGAGCTGCCTTGCCTGTGCACGGGCGGTACCACCGGCCGGCAGAAGAGAGTGAGGAAGCGTTGGTTGTTCTGAAGAGCCCAGAAGTACTGGTCTGCTGCTGTGACAGTGAGATTCTCGTTATGTGTTTTTTTGGGGGAGAGAGGAATAACTGTGGGTGATCCAGAGCTTGGACTCTGGTTCTGTATTTCTCTTCTGGAGAGGGAGCTCTCAGTAAGTCATGTGAACACGAGGGGAAGATAGTGGCCCTGATAAAGACCACGTTGTCTTCTTCTTTGAATCCTACTGCTGCCTGACCAAAAGCAGATTAATTGTCAACAGACTTCTTGGTGTTGCACTGCTGCCGTTGTACCCCTGCACTGTAGTGGGTTGTTTGAGTTCTTTCACCTGAAAGTGTTGGCAGTTGGTCTGTTTGTCACAATCCTGGCAGGCCCTGCCTTGTTAAAGGTCAGCTGCTCAGACCGTGTTTTCACAGTGTTTTTCTTGGCAGCTGAAGCCACGCAGGGTGTATTTAATATTCACGGTAATCAAAGTATTCTAATAGTTTCTAACACTTTCTTCCTACATTCTTTATATATAAGGGGGAATGTAGAAAACTTTGTGCCTGAAGGTCAGAACTGTTGGAATCTCAGACTCTGGTGAAACAAGAACCTGATATCCACTGACAATTAATATTTTAAGTTACATGAACAATGAAATCCTCCATTTTGGCTACAAATTGTATTTCCTTTCACAAAATCACTCTTGCTAGCTGCCAAGTTGAATGTGTTAATGATTCTCAGCTCCTTTATCTTCACTTGCACATTATTTGGGCAATGATTTTCCGGGATAAATTTAGGGGCAGGGAAGACTGCCTGGTCAGTTAAAAAAGGGGTCTGAAATCTTCCCATTTTTCTGCTACGTCTACTATTTATGAGCAGGAAAACATTTATTATTAATATGAAAGCATTTTAAGTATTGGAGAGGAGTTCTTGCATGTGCCAGCAGGAGGCCAACAAGGAGAAATGGAAGAATGACTTCTTTGTTTTGGAGGAAGAGAAACTATATGGCTAAAATTGAGGGGTCTACAGGCCAATGATGAATTCTTTGTCCTGTTAAGGACAGAAGGGCCAAGATACTGCACGGGTGAGAGTCTTCCTTGGGTATCTACTGTATCAGGAAGGGAAGAGTTGCAAAATTCATGAAAAGGACTCCCCAGCACCAATTTGACCGTGCAGGTTAGCCGGAACATTTCTGTCAGTGCTGTTTCACCTACTGGCTTTCAGGGAGTAGATTTGGTCAAGCTGTTGTGGAGGAAAGATACCTCATTTGGAACAGTCTTGAAGGCCGTGTTGTTTTGTCCTGCCTGGATCCTGCTGATGCATTAATGTCTTCCGTAGATCACCGCTCAGCAGAGTGTTGGAAGCCTGCTGAAGTGGAAGCTCCCTGTTCAGGCAAAAAGGACGGCTCCTGTCAGTGGTACAGCGTAACACACAAACCTGTGAGTTCTTATTTCTGGTGGGAATTCTTGGTTCTCTTTTAACAATTGCTGCCTTTTTTTTCTGTGATTAGCAACTTCCATAGCACAGGAACTAATCAGTAAAAGACTAGTTGCGTGATTCCTCTTTAGGGAGGCTCCCTTCTTCCTTTCTGACTGGCTTTTAATAGGTGTCCTCCCACCCTTCTGACATGCTTGTAGTCACTCTGTGCTCTTCTGATCCTTTATGGTAGCTGCTCTCCTCCCCTTTTTTTAATAGCTTACTTGGAATTCTAGGATATAATTGGCAGTGGTCAACTTAAGAAAGGTCTTTGCACAATAGATGCTTCAGAGGAGTAGCAAAGTGGAAAACTACTTTATGATCTAACTAAAGGAGGGGTAAAACCCCAAAGATTGAAGGGATAACATCTTAAAAAAAGGTCACTTCTGTTTATTTGGTTGTTATCTGATTGGCTAAGTATCTAGGAAAAGGTGAAGTTTCTCTATGCTGTGTTCAAAACCGAGGAAAGTTGGATCTTTAGTGGGGTCAACAACTGCCTTTGATACTCGAAAGGGTTGCAGTAGTGTAGAGATTCAGAAATAAGACTAATTTCTCTCATAACAAATCCATTGTTACTGTAACACACATGCCTTCCTATATTTAAGATACCTGCAGACATCTGGGATATCTGCAGCTCTTGTCCAGAAACTTTTTGGAGCTTCCTGCATCACAGAGAGACCAAATAGTTGTTCACCTTGGAGAAAATTAACTTATCGGTGATCTGGGAAATGCTTATTCTGAGAGCTGCTCTCTTCGATGCTGTGTTACGTTCATATCCTCAATGGCAACCCTGTCGTAAGAACAAAGATACAGAGGATATAAATGGCTACCATTTAAAATGGTAGCAGATAAACGTACTGAGCTTTGCACTGCAGGAGCGGCTGGCACTCTGTTTGCTGTAAATTGAAAGGTTATGGCTAGTTAAATAGTGGTCTGGTTACTAATCCTCTAAGTTGCAGAAATAGCTTGTTAAGTGCGTCTAATCTATTTATTTTTCTTTTTAGACACACGAGGAATTGATACTGCAGGTTCCAGTGGGGCTCAGGCAACACAGTTCCCTGGTGTGTGTCGTGACTCTTCTTGCCACGCTGCTCTGTTCCAGTCTGATTCTTGCAGCCGTACTCAACAACGGACACTTCTCCAGGGTGACCTGCTCAGAATAAAGAAATACAGAATGACTGACCTCCATCCAGCCAAACTCACTGAATATTACATCAGTTTGCTAAATTAATCCTACTCTACTGTTGTTTATCTCTTGGTAACGTGCGAGGGTCCCATAATGGGTAATAGTTCCCTTGGCCTAATTCTTACAAACACCTTTCGCACATCAGAAGACCATTTCGGTGTGTTGTCAATAGACAAAAGTAGATGGAGGGTGGGAATAATGCTGCAAAAAGCTGGAAGGACTGCCATCATCTCGGTTCCGATTCCTTCCCCCTGACCCACAGCCTGCTTTGACTACTGCTGCCTCATGCAGAGGTGTTTGTATTTCTTGAATTTAAACCAACGGACTTGGAGATTAGTTATTAAGGGTATGAAAAACATTAGCTAGTAATTAAAAGTTTCTGCATTTTACGCTTGTTTACACTGTTTAGGTGGGTTACTTGTGAATTTGTGAAGATTCCTTCTGTGCTTACCTGGGACAGGAGGAGGCTTAAATAATCTCTCCCATTCTAATAACTGGGAGGGATTAGCTGCTCTTTGTCAAATTAGAGCTGGAATTGCTTAGAAAATTTTAAAGAAATTTCATCCTATTTCAGAAGCGGAAAGAATAACCCTTGGAAGGTGAAAGCTGGTGAAAAGATACTAAGTAGAAGCAAATATTTACAGCTGATAAATACAAGGAAATGGAGAGGAAATTACTTAATGGAAAACCTGAGTTGCTCTGGATTGACAAAAGAGCTCGGCTGCTGTTCCTAGTTGTCAGTAGGTGGCATTGTGAGCTTACGGTAACTCCTGGGGACTGTGGGAGAGAATAGATTTTATTCCCTATAAGCTGAGAGTTAGTAAAAGCACGTGATTCAGGGAGTGTGTGTGTGAGGAGGATCAATGAAAATTCTGGTTTTCAAATTCTGTCCTCCTTTTGAGTGCTCTGTGTGCAGCCGAGACTTCTCATCAGCAGAATCATCCTTTCATCGCTGTCCAGCTGTGCCTTCAGGATCCCTTGGGCATCTTTCTGCTTCTGCTGGAATTCAATAGAGAGCTCGTCTTGTGACTTCGCCCACGACAGGTTGGCAAGTGCTCTGACACTGGGCTCTTGTTTTCCCTTGACTGTGCTGAATGATGATGGCTGCGCCAGTACTTCATCCAGTACCTCAGAGGAGTCATGCACTGACTGCATCTGCCGGGGGGGAAGGGAGAAATTAAAAGAGAACAATTGCAGAGAGATTTGGCGGCCTATTTTTAACCACATCAGTATGACAGGGCTGTGAACCAGTATTGTAACGCTTGTCTCCGAGTGGGATTTTTAATTCCCAGAGTTGAGTTTACTTCTGTGGTCTCTCTCTCTTTCACCAGTAAGTAATTCTGTGATGCAGTCTGATCATTGGAATGGCAACATCCCGGATTGTCACTCAGCTCTGGCAGGTCTTTATCACCTGAAAGCCCACAGTTGTGTTAACATCAGATAATACCAGTTGAAAATCATAAGTTGAATCCCTTAGCTAAAACAAGCTGCCTGATGTCATAGCCTAGTGAAAAGAAATGGTAGTGTTCTTTGGACAAATGAGAAAAAATATTGCAAGTGGCAAAAATATATAAGTGGATGATTTGGAAACCTGTACAAGTGAGGATGTGAGAATGGACACCCACCTTACTGGTACGATGCTGTAGGAGAAACTGAGGCAGGAGGGGCTTGAATTGCAGCAGGCTTAGCACTGTCAGTGCTAAGCAAATAGTTGAGTTCAGAACAGTTGAAATGTGCACAAATCAGTTTGGTTGGCATGTGACTCACTAAGCCTATCTAAAATTCATCAAGATCCCAGCGATAAGCCTTTTCAGCTGAACTTGAGCAATACTGACTCTGATTAACGTAAAATATGAGAGAAATCGCAGAACTTCTCAATGGATGTTTTTTGTTACGGCAAATAGCAAATACTTGCTGTTTTTAAATCCATAGCATTTGTATTATAGTAGACAAGTTTTTCTTTAAAAGCTGTAAATAATATCCATTGCAGTGTTAAGTATGAAGGAATTTGGCAGCTAAACTTTCTCTTCCCATACCAGAAACTACTGTCATTAAGCCACCACTGCATTTAGCAGGCATGCCCTGATGGTGTGCCAGACAGAGGAGAGTGCAGGTGTCAGCCTTACGGGGACCACCGACAGGTATGGAGGATGAGCTGTAAGGCAGTTGTTTCCCTGTGGAAAAATTCTGGCAGCTGTGGAGACAGAAATGAGGTGGCCAAGAGTTCTTAGCAAGAGGACGTGGGTACAAGGGTCAGACACAAACATGTTCACCATTAATGTGTGTAAAGACTGGATCACAGCAATGAAAGACGAGGAGGGGCAGGGGTGTTAAAGGCCATGTTAGGAGTTAAGACTTTCTGAATCACAAATGACTGGGTATAACAAAAGCAAACCCAAAAACCCCTCCTAGTTTGTTTAAAAAGATGTGCCTGGGGAGGGAGACGGAAGAATGGGAGGAGGGTAAGGATTCTGAAAACGGTTTGGAGCAGGAGCTGAGTGGGTTTGGGGGTACAGGGCTGAAGCAGCAAGGAGAAGTAAGGTTACCTTATAGGGAAGTAGAGCTGAGGGAAGTGTGAACTTCAGAGATCTGCTGTGGTTTCTTGAGAGGTACATGCAGAGATGAATTAGCAAAAGCTTGATCCTGGGAGGATCAAATACAGAGCTGAGTCAGAATGGGAAAGTAACAAAGCAATATGCAAAGAGAAGCAAGGACAATGGCCTGACCTGCAGTAGGAATCAGACCAGAGCAGTCTCCAGCAGCCACAGCAGGGTCACTTTGGAGTACTGTTCCTGGAAGAATGGAGCTGAAATAAGGCAGGTCTGTAGGGGCAAGTTTTCAATGACCATTCGGGCTCTGCAGTAATCCTGTGGAGAGTAAGAGAGAGAAGAGAGAAGATAACCTGCAAGAGGCATAGGAAAGCAACAGCAGCTGGAAAGTCTGATTTGCAGTCTTTGTGCCTGGGCCTGCATGGAGGTTTGAGGCTGTAGCGGAATCCTGCTATTTCCCCCCCTCAATATCTTTATGAAGAAGAGCTGCCTGATGCATGTCCTTCTCCTTCTGAAAGAAAAATGAGACATTGCTTAAAGCCTGGACTGACAGAGGAGGTGAGGTCTAGGCTGCAGGGCAGGTGGATGCTTGAGGAAGTCATCTGGAAGATTAGATGTGTCACAGGAATTTTGGGGGAGAAGCCTTGAGAGCACATACTGTTGCTTTCTCAGCTGTGTTACTGCTGCATCTCTTGGGACCTGGGCATCTGAGTAGCGGCTTAGGTCGCTGATGGTAGGAAGTGGTAACACGGAAAGCTGCTCTGTGTCCTGCTGCTGTAGCTAATACACACTGCTTTCACCGGTAATGCTGAACCCTGAGCCACATGGACTTCTAGACCTGAGAAGTTGGTGGGAGAAGGGTTAACTTGTTGCCAGCTGTATCGGTACAAAAATGAGCCCCTTCCAGTACACATAGGGCAAGAGGAAGAGTGAGCATAGCACAGAGGAAGAACACGAAGCATGACCACCTCGGTGCGCTCAGGCACTCTACCCAACCTCCTGGTCGCAGAGCGGGCTGGCGGCCACCAGCCCTGTTACCTCAGTGAGCCGGGGTGGGCCTTGAGGAGACACCGAAACAGCATGGAGCCCCTGTGCTGTGCCGAACCGGTTTTCCTTCACGAAATGAAGCACTGAGGAAATAATATCAAATTTAAACACCAGGAGATGGAAGTGAGAGGTGAAGAAGAGTCAGTTTAGAAGTGGTCTGCTTCTGTTTCTCTAGGGCAGTGAGCTCTTGCCGCCGCAGCTGGCTATAGCTCACCACCCCAGAAAAAAAGAAATGTTATCAAGCTTAGATGACGTGACCCGAAAACAGCACCGCTGTGCCTTAGGCGTAA